TATACATATATATGTATATATATACATATATACATATATGTATTTATACATACATGTATATATACATATATGTATACATGCATACATATATACATACATATATACATACATACAAATATATATATACATACATATATATATATATATATCTATCTATCTGTGTGTGTGTCGCGCATGCCTGGTCTGCTGGTTGGCATCAAATGAATAAGACCCCTCAGGTCGGGGGTTCAAATCCTCTTTGACATAGTTGACCTTAAGAAGATGGTACTCAAATTATTAGACAGATTAAAGATAAATGATTGCAGAGAAACTCTCTATAGTCCATTGCTCTAATTCTAGTCATTGGATTTCTAATCTTTCAGCTTTGAAAAAAATTATCAAAGTTAAAATCATGACCTTTTATGCCTCATATTGATTTTATAAGGTACGAAATAGGAGAAAAAAATTACAAAAGTCATGAGCGCACGTGATTCCGAATCTCGATGTCAAAATCTCAAGTGTTTCCCAACTATAATTTACAGAATTCGTACGTTATTGAGGCAACCAAATCTTCCTCAAGACTTAGTTGTGGAGCGGAGGACAATTCTATAATTATTTCTATTTTTTTAATGCCTTATAGTCAAGTCTAAAAGATATAAAAGATATGATTAAGTTTGGAAATGTCATTGTTTAGATATTAAATAAATGCCTCTCGTTGTTACAAGCCGCGTTCTATTTAGGGTCTTTTTGGGGCGGCTTAAGCTTATTGTATAATCTGCTGATAAGCTAATTAGCGATGACTATTAAGAATTTTTTATTTTTTTCGAAAGATCATATCGTTGCCAGAAAGCTGCCACTGCACCTAGATAGGTGCGGTGTGAAAACACTATTTTTAGCGTTTTGAAAACGCATAAGCTGCCAAAACATACTTTACCCAAACAGGCCAGGTGCGTTTTCAAAACACCACCACACCAAATAAGCTGCCCTTATAGGAGTCGACCGTTCTGTAATTAGAAGGTTAAAATAACGTTAGGAAAAGGGGTGATTATGCAAAACTTGTAGACATTATGCTCCGTTTTAATTTCATTGAAGTTTGCCTTTTTTTTTTAACATTTATATCATCTAAATCATTAGTTTTATTTCAAAAATACCATCATTTTAGTTTTTAAAATTGAAATATACTTTTTCATGCATGCATGTAGGAACTGAAGTTTAGGTGTTAGATATGTAAATACATAAAAATTGAGGGGCACATATCTTAATTTTCCAAAGGAGATTATTTTTGAATGGTTATTTAAGTTCAAGTTTAAATAAACGCAAGAAAAAACATAGCTTAAACGAGTATTTGATGGATATGCTGAAAGTCAAAGTCATATTTGAGAAAATTTATGCTAGTTTAGGCTAGAATTTTATTTTTTTTGTTTTTTTGGAAGGGTAAAAAATGATTCATGTAGCCGACTCCACTGAGTGGGACAAAGACTCGTTGTTGTTAATGCGAACAAGATCTAAGTTTTAGTTTTGTTAAGTATTATGTTATGATGGGTGCCTTAGCCAGATGACTCTATTGGCACAACAAAACTTATAAATTTGGGCATATTTTTCGCATGAACTAAGCCTTTTGTTTTAAGTGTCAGGGGTTTTACAAAGTTCGCACTGTGGGGTGTCAATTCAAGTTGACAGGTTAGGATCGAGTACAACCCAAAGACATTCGAGCAATGCGAAACCATTACACTTGCAACTCTTGTCTTCAAAGGTTAACTATTAGTGTTGTCACAAAAATAAAATAACTAAAAAATAAAATAAAATGAAATACTTGCCACCTCTGTCTTATGGAAAAAAAAGTATTTTGCCCGGACGTCCGCACGTCGGTACGACCAACCACAGAGCGCCATGTCTCCCGCCGCTAAGGCGTATGGTGGTGTCCGGACGAAATATTTTCTCCGTCTTATGACATAGGAGCACATTGAAGTGATACTTGAAACCCTTCCCATTGTG